TTGATACACACTCCCTGTGGGTTCGACCCTTACTCGCCGCTACTACTAATTAGTAGAGGTTAGTCGAGGAAAATATAAATATTAATTTTGCCGCGTTGCGACGCGCGGTCATCTAGCTTATAATTTATCAGTAATTTTTGGGCTTGTAGCTTACAACTTATAGCTGAAAAGTTAGCTTATATGATAAAAGTGTTTGGTAAAATTACCTGATAAGCTAGCTGAAATAAAAATTTCAACGAGCTTATTTGAAAAGTTACCTAAAGAATCTTATGAGATCATGTCGAGCTTATTTAAAAAGCTCGTCCTACCAAACAAAACTTATTTAAATACATGAAGCTTATAAGCTAACCAAATAAATTATAAAAGCATCTGCAAAATGCTTTGCGCCTACTTTTGCCAATGTGGCATGTAAATAAACCAAACTCTTAAATAACATGGATAAAACCATATAAAATTAACAAAATTAACTTCAATTCAAGAGATTATGTCTCTAATTGGGTCTAAACTAGACTTACGTGGAGATTGGGTCTCATTTTCTTATTGACACATCAACAAGACATAGTCTATTTGCACTTGCATGAAAGAATATATTTTTTTAGACTAGGTCTATTATCTAAGTGGCATATCATATAAATTTTGTTGATTGAACCCATAGCAATGAATGCTCTAAGATAACTTATTTGTCTACTAAACATAACTTAAGTATAAATTGATGACAAAATTAAATATAAATCGATTATATGCACACATAAAAATATAGAAATAACTAATTATTAAACAGGCATAAAAGATATACTACTAATTTTGTGGTTTGCAATGAATTTATTTTGTTAAGTTGTATAACGTCGCATAATTTTATTATTTCCTATATCAACAAATACTGTAAAAAGATTACGTCTTTCAAAATTCATTACAACTCTTTCTTTAAAATATTCTCATCTTTTATCTACTAAGATAATTAAAAATAAATTAAAAATATAAGATTCCATTTATCCTTGCATAAAAGAATCATACATGTAAGTTTAAACCGTCTATATAAATCAAGGATTTTGGCCGATTTTACGCCAAGTTTTATTTAGTATTAGATTAGACTAGGTGATTGGGTGTGTATGTTTAAGTGCAAGTAAATTTTTGCAGAGATAATCAAATCCCCATGTATCAATTGCAATCTCTCCACAATAATCTATGTATATATATATATACACAGATTGTACTTTATTCCTCCCAATGGATTCCTCCTACTCATCTATTCTTTTCTTGTTAATTATTTTGTTCATTTGGATCCACACTAGTATTAGTAGTAGACTACTGGTGTGTGCACAAAGCAGCAGCAGCAGCAACAATTTCAGCATCACCGATTATGGGGCTGTCCCGGACGGAAAAACCGACAGCAGCAAAGCTTTCGAGAGCGCTTGGCAGAAAGCTTGCCAGCTAGACGAAGGGGCTGTTTTGGTCCCGACCGGAACTTTCTTTCTGAGCAAGGCAGACTTTAACGGTCCATGCAACGGACAGACTCTTTTCGAGCACCGTGGGACAGTGATCGCCTCGGACGAGCCCACCCTCGGCAGTCGAGACTCGTGGATCGCATTCACTTACGTGGACAGCCTCACGCTTGTTGGTGATGGCACTTTTGACGGCAACGGAGCCAACTCGTGGTCCCACTGCCATGGCATCGTTGGCTGCAAGCAGATACCCCCTTATGTAAGTAGATATATCACCATTTTAATTAATTAAACTACTTTTTTTCATATTAATTAATTGATTTATTGATGATGATATATATGTTTGCAGACTTTAAAGGTGAGTTATGCTAAGAATGTGTTGATCGGGCGCGGGTTACGGTTTGTGGACAGCAAGGCATTCCACGTATTCATCTACGCATCGAACAACGTGCGTGTGGAGCACGTGCACATATCGGCCCCTGGGGACAGCCCCAACACGGATGGGGTCCACATCGCCCTCTCCAACAACACGCGGATAACCGACTCGATTATTGAGACGGGCGACGACTGCGTGTCGATTGGGGACGGGTGCAGTGGGGTGAACGTGACTGGCGTGTGGTGTGGGCCCGGGCACGGGATCAGCATCGGGAGCTTGGGGAAATACGAGGGGGAGGGGAACGTGGCGGAGGTTACCTTAAAGAACTGCACTTTCGACGGCACGGAAAATGGGGTGAGGATCAAGACGTGGGCCCAATCGCTATCGTCGTCGGTGGTGTCGGGAGTGACGGTTGAGGAGATTGTGGTGAAGGGGGCGAGTAACCCGATCATCATCGACCAGTTCTACTGCCCAGGCGAGACATGCGCCCCTGGATGGGAGTCGAGCATACAGATCAAAGGGGTCAAATTTGCGGGCGTGAAGGGGATGTCGGCCACGGAGGCCTCGGTTAGCCTCAACTGCAGCAAGAGCCATCCATGTGAGGACATTGAGTTCTTCGGGTTGAACCTCACCTATGCGAATGGACAGCCATCCGTTGCTTTGTGCGCTAATGCAGACGGAAAGTTTGATGGGCTGTCGGCTCAAGTCCCTTCTCGTTGTTCCACTTAGAGCTCGTATGATCATGATTAATTATCACGATCATATGAGAATGATAGATAGTGAAAGAAATGAGAATTAATTTGTACCATTAGATCCAACATATCAATGGTTATCATCAAACTAAATTTAAATATGTAAGTCAAACAGGCAATGGCAATGCCAAGTAAGATTTCCGATCAGCCATGTCAGCATGCATTGGCCGGAATCGAGACAAAATTGCAATACTTAATAAATGTTTGGTATTTTGTTGCAAAGTTGTAAAAGTTGAATTTTATTTGCAATTAAATAAAAGATGGGGTTAAATTGAGTTTTATAAGCCATAAAAATAAATTATTTTTAAGATGCCTTAATTACTCAAATAATGTGAATTTGGCCTATAATATAGGAAATTTCGGCTGCAATATCAATTATGTGATTTGGTAAATATCTTCCAACTAAATTGTGTAATTAATTATTTAATAAGTATTTTATATTTTTTGTGTAATTCTTTTGTGAAATATTTTTTTAATATACATTAATAACGCAAATTTTGTAAATCTGAATGATTTATTCAATCTGCAAATAATTATTAGAATTATGAAAATATCAACTTAAATAATCAATTATGCGATTATTTCAAAAAACTATTCTAAAAAATTGTGTTAATGACAATTTTTATTTAAATATTATTTAATAATTATTATTTATTTTTTGTGTATTTAATTACTCAAATTGTAAATAATTAAGAAAATAATTAGACCAATAAAAATTTATATTTTTAAGATACCCTAATTATACAGCCGAGTAAATTTAGTTGATTCATTCAATCATTTTTTTTTATAAAATTATTTCAGAACAATTGTTTTAATGGCAGCTTCTATTTAATTTTTTTTAATATTTGTTTTTTGGGTCTTTTTTATTTTTATCTATAAAAAACGTGGGTCTCGATTTTATTTTGTACGTTGGACAATTAATTTTGTGGTAAAACTGAATATAATGTTTTGTATTTTATCGTTAAAGTATGAAATCGAATTATTTATTATACTATATATTGATCCAATATACCTGCTTATGGTAAAAAATGGTATCTCAATATTTTTTTGTATTGCTAAACATTTTACTCGATATTAATGAGAGAAAAATCTGGAGATTACTGTAGTCTATAAATATGCGTGGACATATCAAATTATTTCGTGTATATCTATCTATATATATATATCAAATTATTTTGTATACATATATATCAAATTATTAATTCGTGTATATATATATATATATATATATCAAATTATTTTGTATTTACTTGAATCACAATGTAGTCAAAATTGAATTTCTTATTAATATTTTTAAAATGGCGCCTATTTCGAAGTGAATATAATATAACTTATTATTAGTTACTTGCACTGTACGGGTCGTGTACTAATTTTAAATAGACATGTTTAATGTAATTTTACAAATTTATATTTCATATAACTTTTTCAACAAATTAATATAGGTAAGTTGTATTATTTATTGATTCCATATTATTTCCAGTGTCCCCTCCAAATCCCAAGAGGCTTATATATAACCACTTATCAACACAAACATCACCTTCATGTGCCAGAACAAAAAGATCAAGTAAAAAGGCCAAATATGCCCATTTATTGATATAGAACAACTAGATATAGATAGTAGTAGTCAGGATCTTGATTTTTTTTTTTTTTTCTTTGGTAATACACAGAAGATCATCACACCAAGAAGCAAAATTTGTTACATGTGTTAGCAAAACTACTGCCCGTTATTTGTATATCGTCTTACCACAAACTCAGAAGCTATTACTAGGAAAAAAACGAGGGATTATTAAACTTTAAAGATTTACGAAGCTGTAGCAAGAGTAGGCCGGTGAGCATTTTCTTGGAAGAACTTAGGAGGTGAATTATTAGTATGATTCGACTCTGTCCCGTACTGCGTCTTTACCTCCTCTTCCTCTTCCTCGTCATCCTCAGTAGCCCACAAGAAAAAAGCATACGAAGCCACGACAAAACTGCCCAAGAGAAAATCAATACTTAAATTGATCCAAGAAAAGTAGAATTCAAACCATGAGTAAATTGAAGGATGATTACAAATTACCCTTGAGCTTACCTTACCACCCAAAAAAAAAAAAGAAAAAAAAAGAAACAATTTTTCCTATATTCAAAGAGGCAAATAACTTTTTCAGTTGTTGTGTCCCCAAATTAAGTTCCACTCAAATCTTAATGTAACAGTTATCAAATCAATTTGTTCTAGTTACATTTCTATCTTTCCCTTCAAAATCAGTGGGTAAACATTTTCTCTATTCCAGTTCACCAGAGCACATAACTAGAAATATCGAAACCGTAGCTTCCGGCCAATATTTGATTACTTGACAGATAAGTGTAGGAAAATCAATGCTTTGCAATTCCATCAAGAATCAATTCCAGCAAATCCAGGCCACTACCATTTAGGCCACAAAGTATTGATCACAAAAAAACCAATAATAAGTACCAAAAGCATCTCCACATAAAAGCTCGACAAAGACTGAACGTACCACGAAGATATTTTCATGACACGTCAGGCAACAAGATATTTCCACTACATTTATCGGTAACTAACTCATTAATTCAAACACCCTTCTCATAACCAAAGAAGGCAATAACCTACACCGTTGTTTGAGGAAGGAGAGTTTGGTAATAAGTAGTACAATTACTTAACTGATCCACAAAAATCAAAGCAGTGGCTAAACAATAAATTTAAAGCACCCCTCGAACTCATTATGCAAAGTATGATTAAAAATTACGTTCTTTAACCAGAAGCTTACAAGTTACAGCCCCTTGTTACTCTTTTTTCAGTGAAAGCATATATTCCCTACATAATTCTTGTACAAGTTAGATTAACAAAGCCATAATGATTATCCTCAAGAACCTAACACAAGATTTGAAGTGTCCATGGAGAAAAGCATCTATCGACAAAACCAAGACAGAAAAAACTCTTTCTCACCAGTCATTTGGGTCGGCTTTAACAGCTCGATGAAAATAAGGCTTAGCTCTTTCAGGATCCTGTTGTGTTTTCCATATTAGATCAGCATAGAGTGATAACATACTCCCATCATTCGGGTTCGCCAGAATTGCCCTTCCACAGTACTCCTCTGCCTTTGCAAAATCTCCCTTAACCTAACACACACATATACACTCACCCCAACACATTTTCAATATCGAATTTCTTACCAAAACCATGAGCTAAGAACCTAAGACAAGTATATTACTGGATAATTATTTATCCACAAAACATATATTTATATTCATGATCAAAGACAACCGAGACAAGATTAGATAACAGTACCTCTTTCAAGAATTTAGCATAATTTGCAAGCAAAAGAGGATTCCCGGGATTAGCCTGTATCATCATCTCGTAGTACATATCCGTGTCCTCGGGCCCACGCTCCGGGCCCGATCGAGACCCCCGTCCACCACCACCACCACCACCACCACCGCACATCCCCCCACGCCCGCCGGCGCCGACTCCTCCCCCCACCACCAGCGGCTCCGGCGACGCCACCAGACACTCCTCCTCCGCCGCCGATCCCAGCCCCGAGCTCGTTAAAAATGCGGACCCCAGATCGTGTTCCCTTCTCTCCTTGATTTTCGCGGGCCTGGGGGTCGTGGGCAGCCTCAGGCACTTATTGGGCCTACGCGGATCTCCGAGATCAGAGTCGAACGAAAACCGGGTCGGAGTGCTCCGCCCGGCGCCGTCCTCAGATGACATCGTCAGGCAGAAAGATCGGGTCCTGGGCAGCTGGGGCAGTGCGTCGGGCTCCGGCGGCAAACCCGACCCTGCCGTTGACTTGTGGCGCACTGAGTTCAAGATGGGCGACGAGGAGCTTCTCAGCAGCATTTTTCTTCCACTATCTTCCTCGATTGCTGTAAATTTTTTCTTCTTTTTTTCTTTTTGCTCCGGCTTGCAGGAGCAGACATGGTGGCTGAGAAAGTGAAGGTTTTTATAGGGGGATTTGAAGGAACGTAAATTCCTGTGTGCACGGATCTAACTTGATTTATGGTGAGAATACTTGTGGGCAGGTTTAACAAAGTAGTTCGTCGTACTTTTTTTTTTTTTTTTTTT